GCAAGGACCGGATGATCCCAGAAGCTGCAGTAAGTGTTGATTACATCTCCTTCTTCTTCCACCTTTAGGTCTAATCACTCGAGTCGGTAATCAAGAAACCAGATTAATTTTCGGATACTACTTATTGAGACAGATTCAAGATCAGTGTAAAAAAGGTTAAAGTATATTTTTAGAATATCATAAATTAATATTTTATCTTTTAAATAAGTTTAGATAGAGTTATAAAGATAAAAAAATTATTTGAGCTAATATATATGTCATTACTATATTTTTTTATTTTGATTTTTTTCTTATTTTATTTGATTTAATCTTTGAGCTAATATATATGTCATTACTATTATTTGAGAAAAGATTTTATTTATATGTGATCCTTCTCTTTTTTTTCACAATCAGATTTCTGTACGTTTCTTATTACTTTTCTTTCTACTTGTACTCTTTTTTATTCATCTTAAAATCTATTAATGATTAAAAAATAGGAGATTATTCTGCTACCTATTTATCAGATAAATAGGTATAAATGATGATTAAATAAAGGACACAGAATTCAATGATTCCATCGTATGAGACAATACATCAAAGAAGACTTTGACTCCGCACCGCCATCTCCTGAGCTTTTCTGCCACTTCTAATTTTCTCTTCTTTTCTTCCTTTATTTTCTTTCTCATTTTCCAAGCACCGTAAGGATTTCTTGATAGAAGACGACAACTTCTCGTGACCACCCAAGTCCATGTACAGGTCTTGGAAGTCAACGAGCCGAAGAAACGCGTAAGAACTCACGGATTCTTTGAGTTCAGGATCAAAAACTTGACCCAGAGAATTGAATTGTGACCACAGCTTAGCTTTGGAAGATCGCATCCATCTAACTCGGCCTCTCTCTTTTTTCCTCGATTTTCCAAGCCTCAGTCATATTGCCATATTCACCATTATTCAAGCCAATGACTTCGTCCTACTTTCTGCAGGAAATGGCGACGATCCTTGTGCAGAACATAAACACACGAAGCGGATTGTAATAGGTAGAATTCTTATCCTTTTGAGCCCGTCTAGTCTCTTCCATGGTGTTGGATTCTCTGAAGAGCATGAATTCATGTTCCTTTTGGATTAATGTCGTGTTCCAGTTTCGCTGGCGGGATCGGTGGGCTTGCTGTTGCTCTGTGCTGTGTTATCACTCCTGCATGCACCAAAATGGTTCAAGAACTCTGTCTTCTTCAGCTCCAAATCAGAATGCACACACAACATCGAAGCCTTTTTGGGTAATTGTGGATCCCTGGCCCCCAAAAGATTCAAGTATTCTGACCTGCGAAAGATCACCAAATCCTTCCGAGAGAAACTGGGCGAAGGTGGATATGGAAGCGTGTTCAAAGGCACGCTCCCGGACGGCCGCTTGGTGGCCGTCAAGATCTTGAGCAAGTCCAAGGAGGACGGCGAGGAATTCTTCAACGAAGTCGTCAGCATCGGTCGCACCTCGCACGTCAACGTCGTCACTCTCCTCGGCTTCTGCCAAGACGGCCGCCGAAGAGCTCTGGTTTACGAGTTCATGCCCAATGGTTCCCTGGAGAAGCACATCAACCGAGCAGCTCTTCCTTGGGACAGACTCCACCAGATAGCCATCGGCATCGCCCGAGGGCTGGAGTATCTGCATCGCGGCTGCAACGCTCGCATAGTCCACTTCGACATCAAGCCTCACAACATCCTCCTCGACGAGGATTTCCGCCCGAAGATATCAGACTTTGGATTGGCGAAGCTGTGCCCGCAGAGAGGGAGCGTGCTGTCCATGGCGGACGCGAGAGGGACGATAGGGTACATCGCACCGGAAGTGTTCTGCAGGAACATTGGAGCGGTCTCCACCAAATCAGACGTCTACAGTTATGGAATGATGGTCTTGGAAATGGTTGGAGGGAGGAGGAACGTAAGAGCAGGCGCAGGCGCAGATAGGAGCAGCGAGGCATACTTTCCTGAGTGGCTTTACGAGCACTTGGATGGAGAAGGAGATCTTGGAGCTTACGGTGTGACAAATGAAACGGAGGAGATGGCGAGGAAGATGATAATGGTTGGGTTGTGGTGCATACAAACCAGGCCAGCAGATCGGCCTTCCATGAGCAGGGTTGTGGAGATGCTGCAAGGGAGAGGCAGCGACGTGGAAATGCCACCAAAGCCGTGTCTTTCTACGCCATCCCAATCCTACGTTAGCTCTGCATCTTAGCAACGCGTTTGATCGAATCTGAGTTTGGGTTATCCCAAATTGGGCTTAACTTGGGCTCAATTTAGGGCTTATTTAAGTGTAGTCTTTCGGGGCTCGCTACACAAGCAAATTCAAACGGCATATAAATAGGCGCGCGATTTGCTTCCCCGTTTCATTCTATCAAATCAAATCCTTCCTCCCCTTTTCTCTCGCTTACATGGTGGTCGCTTCGTTTGCCATGGATTCACGAGCGCGACGACGACTCGGAAATATTTCTTCGTTCCATCAAATCGTCCGAGAATCCCCAAACCCCTCGCTGCTTTTGTGTGATCTGGTTCGAGCAGAAGGTTTCTGGTGAGATTTCTATTGCCTAGTTTGTCTTCTTCTTTTCTGTACATTTAGATGATCGATTTCTATGGCATACCTTTGTTATCGATCGTGGTAATATCCTAAGATGCTAGAGGGATCGCAAGAAGAAATGCGAGAGTTGCTCTCCTGTTCGTAGATGATTTGGCCTACTTAGATCACTGCATGATCACTATGGAGGCACAAGTCTTTCTTGGGTAACAGAGATACCCACCTAAATCATCTTCTATATTGCATTGCTATTAGCTTACCAATCAAAATTGAGACTACGGACGAAACCATTTAATCCCACCACTCAAGTAAATAGATCATTAGTTCCTTTCCTGATGATTGAGACTTGAGTGGAGAAATCTTATCCTTGGAGGATTATGATGCTGATCATGACGAAGGCTCCAACATAAAGTTTTAATATTAGGTCAGCATCGTTGTAGCTGAAAACGATTATGCTCTTTTCCTACTCACCAACAGACATTGATATCGACCTCTTTCACCATCTTAATTATTGCATTTAGATATTGGGCATATTGTTAGAGATTGCCGGCACGCTGATGGCTTCCTATAATGGAGATAGCCACCGGAGTTTGATACAGAGGTGGTTGGTCGAGATATTAAAACCGCGGCTCGAATTGCTCATATGGGACGGCCGCCCTGCATGTGTTGCATATCAGCTATCTCTGTCGAGACAGGGAACACCACTTCTCCTAAAAGGTAATCCGTGTCCCAGACCGTCAGCTTTAGTTTTGCTGGTGCCCGCCCCTTCTTTTTGACGTGGAAAATGGCGCTTCCTGGCTGAGGAGAGGCAGGCGGGCCTTAATCCCTGGCGTGCATACGGTATGGCTTGTGGGTCCCACCATGGGATAGGCGGGGCGCGTCGTTTGTTCCTTCGCTGGGCGTGCCAAGTCACCCCTCGTTGGCCTTGGGCACGTAAAAGTTGGGCGTGCGAATAGCTGGTCCACCACGTCCCTATGTCTCTTTGGAATCCGGACGAGAGGAGACTTCCCTCTTCAATCTCTTTGTTCTTGATTTCCTTATCCTCCGAAGTCCAGCTCTTCGATCCATAGCAAGAACCCCTCTTTCAAGTTGAACACCACCCACCCGCTACTATCCCCTGCTCGGTCCTCAGTGGAAGCTTGAACACACTTCACTCCTCTCTCTCTCTCTCTCTCG